GTAAAAAAATTATTTCATTGAAAATATTTTTTCTAATATCTAATGTTCATATAAAAATATGAATTCTTGAATTAGTGAACCATAGATTGATAGAAGCGTCTAAAAAAGACTGCTGTAAGACACTTAAATACATTGGTTTAAATACTCGAATCAGGATCGATATAAGACGCGTACGTGTCCCAAATCGGTTATCCGCAGACATGTGAAGTGTCTTAAAAAGACGTTGACTGACCAATCAGAAATGACCCTAAGTGTCTTTTTTAGACGAACGAATCATCTTATTTATATACTTCATGTGACTTGATTTTTTAGAGTGTAACAGCTATTTCAGACGAAAAGTTCGGTGAAATAATTAATCAAAAACCATCATCTGTTGGCCATCGTATTCATGAATTATTAGATGATACTATTTTTTTCTTAAATCAACATTATGGAATTAAGGAAGAACAAGGATCACAATTGGATCAACTGATGAATCAAATAAAACATATTTGCTTGGATGTAATGCATAATAATGAATTAATGGGTAATAAAATTTCAATTTTAGAAGATCGTATTCAACATTTAGAAAATAAGCAAAATACATCAAACAAACTTCGAACAACGGCAGAACTTTTGACTCCAATCGTGAAGGATATTCGAAATTCAATGATAAATCAACAAATTTCTGATAATTATCATTCGCCACCAATCATTAATGCTTGTATATTGCATTTAGATGGGAAAAATATGTCATGGGAAATATCAGATTTTAATTTCGATAATCGACGAGATCAATTCAACATTGATAAATTTCATCAATTTGAATCAATTATTCAACATCATGGAAATAATTTAAGAGTTAGTTATCGTATATTGTTAGAACTCTTACGTGTCAAATTTAATCGAAATCAATTAGAACATGAATCAATTAAAAAAATTTTGCGTTATCGTTCAGGTATTAATGTTTCATTCAGTGAATATTTGATATCTGTTGATATGGTCGATGTCTAATAACAGGTCGAGATTTATCAGTAGCACCAATTGGAACAAATGCAGATGTATGTACATTTTTCGGTGATGATATTAAAGTATGCATTGAAGGTGTTGCTGAAATGCGAGTTGTTTTGCCTGTATTCGATTGAAATTGACGAAGTTCATTTATCTCTTTCTTGAGATCATCAATTTGAGCATCACGACGTTCAAATGCTGCATTTAATTTATGTATAGATTCTTGTGAAATACGTGTTTGATTATCACCGGGTNATCACGACGTTCAAGTGCTGCATTTAATTTATGTATAGCTTCTTGTAAAATACGTGTTTGATTATCACCAGGTAGCATATTATCATGATACAAAGATGTTGCTTGAGCTATTTGTGGACTTGTAGTTTCATGAAGACTTCGGATACATGTTGGTGAAGTTGATTTACAAAAATCTATCTTTTTATGACTATCATATTGATTTAAATCATTAATAGCTGAATTTGGTCTAGAACGAACGACTGGTGAATGTGGTGCAGAATTGACAACCGACTTCAAATGATGCATTTGATCATATAAATCACCTAATGTTTTATGTAAATTAGAAATTTCAGATTGTTGATTATTTAATGTTTTATTTTGGTTATTAATTTTATCTTCAAGAAAACGTATTTGAGAATTCGATTTGTGCATTTGCTCATAGTTGATAGCTTTGACCACCGAAGAGATTTCTTCAGAAAAAATTGAATTAAACTGTGTATTAATTGCTTGTGGTGCAATTGTTTGAAAATCTGATCTATTAAATACTGATCTAGACGACGATGAGTCGTCTGAATCATAACTAGTTTTAGACTGATGTTGTACCGGATTATCACCAGTAGACATATTTGATAATTGAGAATAATAAGGACAGCACGGTAAATACTTTGAGAACACTGTAAAACTAATATTGATAATAGTGTGCTGATGAATGAATAAGTAAAATTTGAGAAAATAATAATATTATTGTGTTGCTGTAATGGTCAAGCCAACCCAGGACTGCGCCACTGCGATGTTTAGTTAATTCGGCAATGTTAGTTTCATATAATTATTAAGATTAAAACGAATAATGATTCTTCTAATAGTTGATATTTTAGATAGAATCAAATAATGTATTATATATATCTT